GACTATTAGACGGCCAATCGATTACTATCGGGGCATTCTTTGCTAGAAATTCTTTTGCAACTCGACTTGTATGCTTGAGGTCATTGTCTCGTTGAAACTGCCAACGATTTCCAAGAATTTTTCGAATTTCGGGAAAGTGTTTCTCTAAGATTTCCACATAAAATGAACCGTTCATAATTCGTTGGAAATTAAAAAGGCTCGTCTTTCCTCTTGACCAAAAACTCCCCAGAAAAAAATTTTTCTTTTATCTTTTGGGACTCGTCGTACCGGACGTTTTTCTTTGTACCAATATTGTACTATATTACGAAACAATTGAAATGAAGTTTCATCAGTAAAAACAGTTCTATTCCAATTATTATTTCGATATTTTTTGCCCACGCTATACGCTTTTGCATATGTTCGCTTGTAAGCATTGGCGTTACCTGCTCGATTTTTTTTATAGCCAAGCTCGGTCAAATGATTCCTAACGGTTAGAACTTCTTTTATTAAAAGTTTGGTAGCCGGTGCTTTTGTTAAAATTGATGGATTAGTTTTTACTTGTTTGACTAAAAACTTGGAGCTTCAGGAAGAGATTTTTCGGAGGGCGACCACTACGATTTCGGTGACTAATACCACCAGTTTTTTTTTTTAATTTAGAAATATTGTAATATACTGTAGATCTTGGAATACCCGTCGTTTTTGTATTTCTTTTGCAGTTTGGATTCCTCTGTCCCATAATTAAATCGTGATCGGAAAAAAAGATGTATATGTCAAGACAACGGAATTTTCCTAATTGAGGTATGGTATGATGAAAAACCAGAAATAGTTATTCCTGAAAGGATTCAAAAAATTAAGGAGTTCATTAATCAAGCGCCCAAAAGCTTCGACCTATAATCAACTTATAATATATATCTTAATATCTAAATCGCAGATGAGTGTTTAATATATATGTATATATCATAACGAATAAGTAATTTTTGATATGCAATTTATATATCAGCATAGGATCACTTTATGAGACTTCAGAATTTTGATTGGCGAAAATCTTTCCCTTTTTGTTATGGAAGGATACATAGTTTATTTCGAAAAACGAACGCATTGCACTTTTTTATTTTATTATTCATTTTCTACATTGCATAATCAATCTCTTTTATCTATAATATCAAATCAAAACAAATAACTAGTTTAAAAAAGACTCTTATTACTCTAATCTAGGTATCTTTAACACTTGACGTACTGTAATATTTTCAGAACGAAGTATTGACCTGTTGATTTCTTCTAATAATTCATCCTGCTTAATTAATTCATCCTATGGAAACATTACAATCATATGACGATTTGTGAAAATAAATCATGATCATGAACAAGACTTACATGGAATATAGACATCATTCTGAGAACTGATTTATATTGATGCCGTCTGTTAAGACTGAAGGGAATGACGGCGGTAGCAAGTTCACATGACAGGAAGCGTCCATCGGGGAGGATATTTAATGAATATAGTGTTAATCGAGAATCTGAAAAATGGGAACAGGTTATCATACATTGCAGTGGCTAACAAAACTAACAAAACATAGATCTACTTACTAATTGATAGTGTACTGAACACCTTTATCCTTGTGGCAAGGTTGATATCACAATTAAGGTGTTCCCGTAATATTGCAATTAGATTTAGGATATCTGTTCAGAATGCTTTCTTTGAATCACCTATAACATGTTTATTGGGTACATTATAGGGAGGACCCGCAACCTCTAAATGCCAAACGTCAAGCCCATCGGAGAACCTTGTCACCTTTGCATCCACTAGAACAATGCCAGAATTTGATCCCGACTTCATCATTTTTGCCGGATGGAAATGAGACTCAATCCAATCAATATCCAAGGTTAGAAACGTTCTTTCATAAAATTTTAATAGTGCTGATACTTGGTAAACTATATGCTTTCGCCCGCTCATCTTTCTATCCATAGTGGGACCAACATCTACAAGATTGTAGCTAAAGGAAAAGCAATTGTTAGCAGTTTCTTTGATGGACAAATAGATATTAATGTCTACCTACAAGTCGGTGAGAACTTTCTCACAATATAGGCGGAAACCTTCATCGATATCTTTATAATACTTATTTCTAATTGCATTCTTAAACTTTTCGCCAGATTCCTTGAGAGTCGTATTTATATACTCTTCTAACGCAGAATTCCACACAACGGGATTTCTATCACATATAGAGGACAATTCTTTGGTGAATTCTATGTCAATTTTTGTTTCCAATTCTTTTGCTGTAAACGCAAATGCACATATAACGAAATTGTTTTGAGTATAACTGTTACATAGAAGACCAAAATAATGTTAGAATAACTTCTGTTTTCAAGGCAACACAACAAGTAGAAACTTACTTCCAAAGTTCTTCATTCTCTATTGGACGCTTGTTTGGTGTATTTAATAAATGTGCTAATTCTCGAAGAGTTTGTGGTGAGGTTTCAGGTGGTAAAGTATCTGTAACGTCTGAAAGTTGTATAGTAATTGAAGGTGATGAAGCGTCTGAAAATAGCAAAACATCCAAGGGTTGTAATTGTGCTTGAATGATCTCTGTTTTCGAGTTAAGTAATAGCGTATTCTGAAAGGTGATAATGAAATGTAAACATCCATTCGACACATGCACATAACTGCAAATCAAATATTAACTAACCTCGACTGTGTCGTTGAGAACGGCTGATTGTCTTTGATATTTAGTAGTATCGAAATATTTTCGGCATTTTTGGATAATCGTAATTCCTGCACGAGACTATGATGATTGAGTTTTATTTCTATATTATTATTAAATAAAAAAATATTGCCTACCTTTAACCACTCTAAGTAATTATAACAGAATGATCTTATCAGATTGGGCGTTGTTACCATGGGTTTCCTCCACTTTCATAATTTCTTATTATTTTACTTTATTTTATTCTCATTTGTATTTATTTTATTAGTATAGCTATTTAGTATATTTTAGTATATTTAGTATATTTATTTATTAGTATTTATTT